CCCCCCCCCCCATACCCATGAAAATTACTTTAGTTTTAGCTCTCTTACCTTTAGCTTATGGGTCAAGTTGACCCAAGATTTAACCCCAAAACCGGATTGACTTCCCTTACTTTGGGCCATATATTTTAACAGGAGCCCATCCCAATTTGATAATTAACAATGAACCCAACCCAAAATTCACAACCCAAACCAGTTACGAATTGCAATCAGAAATAAACAAAAACGAATTACCTAACACTAAAATGAGAATCAAATAAATGCAACTAACATGCTTTCACTTTAATCATGCAAACATTACTTCAACAAACGAACAATAATAAGGAACAGAAAAGATGAACAACAGAAGGTGACGATGGGGTGACGAACAACAAAATGGAGAAAAGGAGAAGAACAGGGGTATCTAATCAACAAACGCAAATAAACGAAACTTGATGGAACTCGGACCTTTTGATTTTGAGCCGAACTTGGTCTCAATCATGCGTTCTTGTCAAGAACGGACAAGCGAGGCTAGTTTCAACTCTAAACCTCTTGCTAAAATTGGAGAAAAATGTTAGGAAATTTGTCCCCTAGATCTTCGAACCTTGGATTTCGGATTCGATGAATTCTTGCCTCACTCAAGAGGAACTGGCTTGGGATTTGGAGAGAGGGGAGTGTGATGGTGATTTGGTGTTAATTTGGGTGAGGTTGGAGCTTTGTTGCCTGTGAAAATGGTGGATTAGGGTTTTTTTAGAGGAGGAAGAGATGAAGGAGACGGGGCGGAACTGATTTGGTCTCTGGGGGTGGATTCAGACACTTTTAAGAGAAATGGGGAAAGTGTGAGAGCTGTTGGATGGGTTAGATTGAAGGGCTCAGATTCATTTTAGATTTGGAACTCGAAACTACGTCGTTTGTGGTATTAGGAAAGGCTGACCGGGTTGGGTGTAATATTGGGCCTGGAATTGGACGGGTATGGAGAATAAAGAATGGGCTCGAATGAAAATTGCTGAAGACTGGCCCAAACTTCTTCCTTCTCATTCTAATTTCTTTCCTTTTCATCATTTTTTCACAAATTCTTTTTTTTTTCAAAAATTAAAACTAAAAGTCCTAAATTAAATTAAAAACCGAACTAACTCATTAAAAATACTAACTAATCCTAAATAATTAACACCATTAATAAATTAAATAAAAACTACTCGAAAATCAAAAATTAAAATTAAAGGGTGCAAAATGACTATTTTTGTGATTTTCCTTTTTATAAAACAACTTAATTACTTGGTCATGAAGTACCATATGATAAGCGTAATTTGTGCACATATGTATCTTGCTATAACTATAAGTATGATAATGTGATAACATGAATTTTTACCCCTATGGAGATATTGAAAAGGTTATTCCACGACATTATATGAAGAGATTACATATATACAAGAATGGTGATTTCAAGGTGCAACATATTCATTCAAGTGATAATATGGCTGATTTGTTCACCAAATCTCTACCGATGTCAACCTTCAAGAAGCTAGTGTACAAGATTGGGATACAAAGGCTCAAAGATGTGAATTAATGCTCTCATAAGGGGGAGTTAATATGCGTTGTACTCTTTTTCCCTTACAAGATTTTGTCCCACTAGATTTTTCTTTCAAGGTTTTTAACAAGACAACCAAAAGGCGTATTGTTAGATATGTGTACTCCTTTTCCTTTACTAGAATTTTTTCCCATTGGGTTTTATTTTAGTTAAGGTTTTAACGAGGCACATTATCTGTTGAATAGACATTCAAGTGAGAGTGTTATAAATAAAATTCGATCTAAGGTGAATGTATATTTAGAGAGATTTTAGGGTTTGTTACTTGGTGGTTAAGTCACTTTTCCCCTATAAATAGAGGGGTTCTATTCCATTGTAATTCATCCCAAATCAATAAAAATTCTCTTTCTCTACTTTTCTCTACAATATTCTTTTCTTCTTTTATTGTTTAATAACAAAACATGACTTATACTCATAAGTTCTAAAAACTATCACAAATACCCAACAATATTATTATCAATAACATTCATTATGGTATCGCAAACCATAGTCCTGAACATAAATAAATTTGGTACAAATTTATCATTTTTATAATGAACTACATGATACACTATTAGATGACCGAGAAGACGAAGCAAAATTGTTACAAAATAATAAATAGTGAGCTCTTTTATAAAATACAAAAGTTTGGGGCAATTTTTTAAAAAAATGTAATAGTAATATTTTGGCTCAAAATTTAGGATTTTGCCAAAATGTAGGCAAAACCTATGACCAAACATGTGTTTGCCAAATAAAACCCAAATTTATTTTGGCAAAATATATGGCCAAACGAGTCCTAAACATCCCAATGGCAGACATATAGGGGTATTTGCATCTATACCTGCTTTTTGTGTAACATTTTAATTTGTGCCCGCTTTGCAAAAAAATTACAAGCGTACCCGCTTTTCGCATAACTTTAGCACACGAGACTGAAGTAGCAAAGGCAATCACACAAAACTTCAGCATTCTAGTAGCCGGGCCTGAAGTTCAGCTTACAGCTGAAGTTTTTGTTTTGTAACTAGCGAACTTCAGCTCTAGAGCTGAAGTTTTTGTATTGTAACTGGAAACTTTTATGTTGTAACTGGGAAGAGCTGAAGTTGTTGTCTTTGTATCTGGGGAATCCCACTATCAAGATGTTCTAGATAGATGATCCAATTAATTTGTGAACACACTAATTTGCAGTGGGGGAAAGAAGTGTAAAAGTGGGTAAAAGGACTACCATGTAAAAAACATTGGTCTATCATTTAAAGCAATTTTGTTCTTTATTTTCCTTCAATAATCCCGATTCAGATTGATACTGTACGGTACTACTCCCAACTCCAAAACCCACACCTCTGTGCCCTATACAGGGAACCGTTCTTCTCTTCTTGCCCTTCTCATTTTTAACTTTATTTATCCATCTTTTCATTGAAAGTTCTGCTCAGTGTTTTTCAGATCATTCACGTGGTGCAAAACAGGTTCCTTTTTTCTGAGATCTCTATTCACATTTATTTTCTGTCCCTTTTTTTTTTTTTGCTTATTGATTAGGTTCATTGTTCCATCTTGAATTGTGTTTCGGTTTTAGATCTTTTCTTTTATTCATATCTAACTTTATTAATAGGTTTCATTTCAAGATTCATCGATCTTGGTCCCCAATTTGTACTTTCCTTTTATGGTTTGTCCTTTCTGTTTTCTTCTTTCTTGAATTTTCATGTTTTAGTGCATAAAAATCCTTGATAAATACACTCAAATTAATGTGTGAATTATTGAAATAAATATGATTTGCCTTTCCAGCTCCACTTTGGGCGTTTATTCTATTGCTTATATGCAAGCACTGTATTGAGGTCCAGGCGAGAATAAACCCCTTTAACAGCTCTTGTGAATACAATGTCTGCAATCAGATTTGATGCGTCAAAGCAATATTATGCTACCAGCAGTCTTGTGGTTGGATATGCCCTCTGTTCCAGCTTGCTTGCTGTGATTAACAAGTTTGCTATAACCAACTTCAACTACCCAGGTCTTCTTACTGCATTGCAATACCTAACTTCAGCTTTAGGGGTTTGGGTTTTAGGAAAATTTGGGCTGTTGCATCATGATCCGTTTACGTTGGAGAATGCCAAGAAATTCTTGCCTGCTGCCCTTGTTTTTTACATGGCAATATTCACCAACACCAATCTTTTGCGCCATGCCAATGTGGATACTTTCATTGTCTTTAGATCCTGTACGCCTCTGCTTGTTGCTGTTGCTGATACAGCTTTTAGAGAGCAACCATGCCCGTCAAAGTTGACGTTTCTCTCTTTGGTGGTCATTTTGGGAGGTGCTGTTGGGTATGTTGCTACAGATTCAGGTTTTACTCTGACTGCTTATTCTTGGGCGTTTGCGTACTTGGTAACCATTACAACCGAGATGGTCTATATTAAACATATGGTAACTAATCTGGGGCTGAATACTTGGGGCTTCGTGTTCTACAACAATTTGTTGTCATTGATGATGGCTCCTTTATTTTGGATTATTACTGGGGAGTATGTTGATGTGTTCATTGCTATGGGATCAAATGAAGGGACATTGTTTAACCCTGTTGCCTTCGTTGCAGTCTCATTATCCTGTGTGTTTGGACTGCTCATCAGTTTCTTTGGATTTGCTGCAAGGAAAGCAATCTCCGCTACTGCTTTTACAGTAACCGGGGTGGTGAATAAGTTCTTGACAGTTGCCATTAATGTTCTCATTTGGGATAAGCATGCTAGTCCGTTTGGTTTGATGTGCTTGTTGTTTACTATTGCTGGAGGTGTTCTTTATCAGCAATCTGTAACTGGTGTTAGTACCACTCCACCACAACGGGATTCTGCTGTGTCTAAGCAGGACAATAAGAATGACCACCACAACTATGGAGATAGTGATGAAGAGAAAGGAATATCCGGTAAGATTTCTGGTCTATAAGCATTTTGGCATTTGTGCCTATTGCTGATGAGGCTATTGTTAGTCCTCCCACTGCGTTATTTACCTATACTTTGATCCTATTCTAGTCATTACAAACTTTTGCTAGATGCTTTTTAGATTGGCCTTGTTATCGCTATCGATTAGTAATCATTTGACTACTATTTGTGAATTTTTGCTCCCTTTCTTTTGGCATGCTATCGTGTTGATTTCATTCATGTATCTCTTGTTTTACACTGGCGGTGTCCAGTTTAACAAAAGTCCTACAGAAATGTATGTTTTGTTTTTCTCCACAATTAGATAACCTTTGCATCTTCAACTTTGTTCTGACATACCTTAAAGAAATGTCATGCTGTGATGGTTGAATTTGTTAAGTAAGAAAACAAAACTCATAATGAGTCAAACTACTTGATTCGTATACCAAGCAAGAATCTGATCAGTCGCCCGGAGAGGGAACTATATTAGATGGCTTATTATCTAGTCCAAGTTAATCTCCTCCTCTAGAGCATTTGAGTTAATTATCAAATCTTTTCGTTGCGTTGATACTTTCCGTAGCTCTATTCCACGTCTCGAGTATCCTAATATATTCAGCTGAAGCATTGGTCTTCCAGTTGTTGCTTCCTTTAGGCTGACTGAGAAATTTTATCATGATATAACTAGGAATACTTGTTTGAAGAACTTATTATGTGAAAGTGGACTATGGGCCCATAATGCCCAAACAATTTCACCCACCAAAATCCCAGCACATCTGCGAAAGAGAAACCTCTATTATTCTCCCTTATTCTCTCTCTGTCCTTTTACATTCTCCCTAATTTCGTCAACTTGCTTTATCTGCCCTTTGTAATCTTAACCAGGCATCAAGTATTATTCAACAATTTTCTCCTCAAGGAGACCAAAACTGAAAGGAAATGAGCTAAGTCTGTAGAGAAGGGTCTCTCTTTCTCAAGATTGGACCGTTAACTCTGTTGTTTGGAAAAAAATCAGCAAATAATCACATATCATGCACTCTTATACTGAATGCATGAACCTTAGCTTATCTTGAGCATTTTTAAGAATTTTGCATATCTCAAGCGTTGTTGGTCGTTTAGAGAAGTTCCTCAATGAGCATAGCTTGAGCAGAGAAAAGAAAAGAAAAGTAGAACCCNGGGGGGGAGCCTGTTGGTGTTTCATTGTCACTGAGGGAGAGAGGTTTGTCTATATTGGTCTGCAGTGGTGAATAACTATGTCGGTGAAGGGTTGGTTTTGTGTTGGTGAATGGCTGGTGTTGCTTCTATAGAAGAGGTGGTTGGTATTTATTGTTTTTCCTATTGAGCGAATGTTTGCTAAGGTTATTCATTTTCAGAAGGAGATTAGGGGGGAAAGATAACAATAGAGAACACCCCCCCCCCCCCAATATGTGTTAGTATTGCGTGCTATATTTGTGGCAGAAACTTTCTGAAAAATGAATTGTAAGGTGGCGTTTTTGGTTAGAGGGAGCTAGGGTATCTCGGTGTGTTGTGGGGGAAAAATATTAAGATGGAAGAGAGGAAATAGTTGCAGAAGAGAGTTTGGAGAGAGAGAGAGAGAGAGTTACAAAGTAAAAGAGATGGGAGGAAAGAGTTGAAGTAAATTAGAGAAGGGGGAGAGTGATGGGCAGAGAGACAAAGTTGGAGGAGTTGTTGGAGAAGTGATTTGTTTAAGCAAGTAAATAGGCTAATACATGTAGTAGCGGTTGTTGTGTAAAATTTCTCAGGCTGACTTGCCTTAACTTTTCTTGAAAACGTTTAGCTCAGCTTAGATGTTTTGAATTTCTTGATTTGCTCATGCTAAACTTCTTTTGACAAATGTTTAACCCAAGGATAAAGAAACTTACTTCAATGGTACCAATTTACTGGACCTTAAGGTAGGAGCTGGAAATTTATATTTTATTTGATGAAATAAAATGCAAAAAGGTAGAAATTTAATCCGGGATGGAAGTAGTACTTCTTAAGTTTAATCTTTTAAGCCTTTTAATTAAAAAGAAGGTATAGTAAGTGGGCAGGATGTACATGTATTAGGTAATATGAACACTTAACATGAGTCATTTTATTTTCAAATTGGTCAAGAGGAAATAGAGAAACTGGTAAAACGACGAGAAAAGAAAAATAAATAAATTAAAGAATCATAGCATATTTGGCCAAGCTTTAAAAATTAGCTTATATTGAGAAGTGTTTTTTTTCTCAAAAGTGTTTTTCTCAAAAGTATTTTTGGTGAGAAACAGTTTATGTTTGGCTAATAAATTTGAAAAACACTTCTAAGCAATCATTAGTGTTTAGCCAAGTTTTTAAAAGCTGCTTCCAAGGCCTCATTTGTTTGCATTTAATGGAGGTCTGAATCTTAATTATTCAGATCCCAGACATTAAATGCGTTTGTTTTTAAAATTTGAATCTTAATTATTCAGATCTTAATCGTTAAGTGTGTGTTTTTTTACTTCACAATTACTTAATAAGTTTGAATAGGTCTGTATCATTAAGATCTATAACAGAGACTTAATTTCATTAAGATACTATCATCCATATTCATTATTAACTGCTGTCACAGCCTACCATTATCAACTACCATCATGCCACCTACCACCACCATACTCAACCATCACCACTACCATTATCCTCAATCATAGCTGACACCATTGTCGACTACCACCACCCCCACCACCATTATTCTCAATGACAACCAACACTCATCCACCTCAACTACCACAATTAACACCTCATCACCATCAACCATCATAGCAGGCATTGCGTATTATTCTAAACTACCACCACCCACCACCATCTTCCTCAATCACAACTACCACCACCACCACCCGCCATTATTAACTATCACCACCCACCACCACCCACCACTATCTTCCTCAATCACAACTACCACCACCACCACCCGCCATTATTAACTATCACCACCCACCACCACCATCCTCAATCATAATAGTTACAATTACCAATCACCACTAGCTACTATAAACTACCACCATCAACCAAATCTACCACCAACCACCGCTTTTAGTCTACATTCACAAGCACTATCGTTAGCTATCACCACTAACAACTATCATATTTTAAAAAGATGTATATTTTAGTGATGAAATATTAGATTAATTAGTATTTTATAATTATTTATTTTCAAATAAACGTAAATTTTATATATTCAGATGTTAAAAATCAAACAGTCTTAGTCATTTAGTATTCAGATCTTAATACACATCTTAACATTCAAATGTGTATTCAGATTCAGATGTCTTAATCTTAATACACATCTTGATATTCAGACGTGTATTCATATTCAGACCTCTTAATCTTAAAAAAGAAAATGAGACCTAAGTGTATTTTTTTCAAATATGCTTTTCATAAAAGTGCTTTTGGAGAGAAACTATTTTTTTCTGCTTCTCCAAAACTGCTTCTGCTTCTCCTCAAAAGTACTTTTTTTTTCTTCCAAAAGTTTGGCCAAACACTTCAACTTTAAAAAAAAAAATATTTTTTTTGAAAAAAATTTGCTTTTATAATTGGAGAATCTTAGCCAAACAAGCTATCAAACTCGGATGAGAAGGGCCTTGGGCCATTTCTAGTACATGAAACCCTAGAGCCTAGGCTTATCCGAACCGCCAAGCCTGGGATACATGCCAAACCTTGGCCTTTGGCCAAAGGTCAAATAACCCTTATACCTCTTAAAAGCCGCCTTTAAGTCATCGAGATTGGGTTAGGAACAAAAATTGGCTGATACATATGTTGGTGAATGATGGCAGCTACTTATTAGCTAGTGCCTAGTGAATTGGTTAAAGTGTACGAGGGGCTTGGGCACCAAATATATGTAGAGGAAAAAATAGTTTAGGAATATGTTTATGGTATTTGTACACGATAAATTTATGCAAGTATTAATAGCCTATATATACTACATTTGCTTTAAAAAGAATGAAAGAATTTGAATTACGAGTTTTAACTTTCAATATTCAGTCTCTATTTAAGCATCAATTTCTTAACTTTTTTGAAATAAAGTTTATATAAATAAAACAAGATAAAATGTAATAAAAAAATAAATTTTTTATATAGATATAAAAAAAATTGTTATTAACTCCAAATAATAGCAACGTCGTACAAAATAAAACTGAAACGGATAGAATAATAAAGGTTTAGTACTTCTGCATTAGCCATTATGTGGAGGAGTGATTCGTGTTTATCTTTCCTCATGAAAATTGCAGTTCTCTTTAAGGAAGGCAACTTACCTGTTGAATTTGCTTTTCTGATAACACTCAAATATACTTGATAAATAATATGCTAGAATTTTAAAGTCAAAGAATTAACCTGGAATGCAACAAAATTGAAAAAAAAAATAGAAAAAAGAGAAAGACAATGGCAATGATTATTACCAATAAAATAAGTTTGAGACTTCCCTCACTGACCTATATCAGACGGGATGATTCAGCTCTGAAGCTTTGTTCTAATTGTCTTCGCTTTCTTCCACACAATAAAACACTATAATAGTTGTATGTATTTTTTATAGTCGGGTTTGTCTAATTGAGGATTGTCCACATTAACCCGGCGTATGCATTATTTAACCCTCTTCAATAGCACGCCTCGTAGAACTAAGCCAAACTTTATAGAATTTGACTTCTGAAAGAAAACTCCTTAGAAATTAAATATACACATCATTAGCCTATGTGTTACCTAATCAAAAAAATATTAAATATTCTATGACATTAATCTCCACCATTCGTTTCTACCACTATGACGACAATTCCACATAGGATGCCCCCTACGCTTCCTTTGTCTTCTCCACTATAACGTCGACTCATCATTATTTTACGGCACTAAAGAATAAATTACATGATTAATTAATTTCACTAAGCCAAAGACACTGTCACAATATAAACAAAGCCATTGCAACAATTAAATGTAGTTACATACAAAGAAAATAATTAATTATTGGTTTTGTAACGTTGATGGAAAGTCATCGGAATTTGCCCACAAATGCCATCAGTTTTTGCTTACTCCCCTCGGAGCTCATCCAATATATAATTCTTCAGCTTGCCTTGCCTGAGATTATCCGACTGAAATCTGTCAATAAGTCCATTTCCTCTATTATTTCTGATCGGGATTTCGTTCGCGACTACAATCTTCAATCGAGCTCCGCCACGTGGCTCTTCCTCTACAAGAAACGGTGGCGCCGTGAAGCTGTGCTCTATGGCTTCGCCGATTCTTCCAACCGGTGGTTTAATATATTGATCGCCGATTTGTTGAAACAAGTGGTTCCGCCAGGTGAAGATGTCTACTTTTTGACTGCTTCTGGTAATATATTCCTCTTTGCTTTGAATAACAGGCAGGAAGTTATGTCAGTTGACATTATGACTAGGATGGTGAAAAAGATCCCTCCAAGTCCGTTAGGTCCACGTGGCACGTCCTCATGGCGAAGATCCGGTATGAAATTACTGTCTTGCCCTTCTAGTTCCAAGCATTTCCGATTTTTGTTTGCTGAGTTACATGAAAGTCATCCAACTTTATTCGAGTATGATTCAAGAGTTGAGAAATGGCAATTTATGCAAGCAAGAGAGGTTACCCAAGACTTACAAGGTGATTTTATTTTCCTAAGTGCATCTAATGGACGTAACGGAAGTGTCATCATAGCCGTGCGACCTCAATGCAACAGCACTCCAGTGGTCATCCGACCAACATTCATCACCCGAGGGAATGAGGAAGATCAATTAGCTGTTGGATTTAGTTGGGGAAATGCGATCGATCTATTACACGTGTACGGTGATGGAAATATGATTACTATTAGATCAGGCAAAGTTGATGATGTGAATAAAACAGTTAGAAAGATAAAGGGAATAGAGTTATGGGGGTTGAGCACAAATGGGAGGTATTGGGAACTTGTATCAAGGGCACCAAATGATCTAATTTATAAAATATGCAAGCCATATGGTGCTATGTTGGGGTGTATGCAAAAAGGGGAAGGGATGACAAGGGCAATTTTGATGACCAATCTACAGGGTACATGGGACACAATTTGGTTAAGCTATGACAAAAACGACGACCAGTGGGCGTGGCTCCCGTTACCTGATTGCAAAATGAAGGGCTCAAACTTGGCTGGAGTCACATTCTCCTCTGGTTTAACCTTGTCCTAGGATTGTCACATTTTAATTAGATTTATAATGTTTGGTTCAATGTGATGTGATTAAATAGTTAAACCATACCAAAACTGAGAAACAACACCCCTCCCCCAACAAAAAAAAAAAAAAGCAAAATTTAGAGCAAGCAAGATTAATGTACTTTTGGATTTAACACTTCTCACTGATTTCTAAGGTCTTCATAATCCAAGTAAAAAACTATGCCTACGGAGTAGCAAAGTAGAGGCACTAGTGGTCGGCAGCGGCGGATGTTGAGTTGCGGCGCCGCTTCATCTGTATTCAGGACTTTCGACGCGAGAAATAAAATTATGTGAAAAATTTATTAAAATTACAAAGAATGATAGTCTGCACCCATAAGTTTAAGAATATAATGGGTTCAATTGTCACTACCCAAAATCACACCAAAGGTCGTGATGACACCTAAGCTCAACATGCTAAGTAACCAGCTACAAATCAACCAATTCATGATAATACAAGATAAACTACTATCATAATACAAATAAAGAACAATAATCTCAAGAACATCAATCAAAGTGGGAAATACTATAGTATGTCCCAAAATACGAAGTCATGAGCTTCTAGGATAAAATACAACTGTCTCAAAAATATAACAATATTGTCAGAATCAAACAATAGAAATGGATAAGACGGGAACTCCATAAGCTGCGTAGCAAGAAAGGCAGTTCACCACAAAGTCTCAAAACAATCTCTAAGGGGCCTTTCTGAATACCGCTAGGTCCAGTACCAAGATCTGCACAAAAATATGCAGATGTGTAGTACGAGTATAAATATAACATGTACTCAGTAAATATCAAGTCTAATCTCGAAGAATTAGTGGCAAGATTTTAATTAAAGCATGATACTCACTTTCTCAACTTGGACAGTCCATAACAACAATGATATAATGGGAAAATAACCAAGAATAACATATATAACAACTAGGTACAAAATCAGAGATAGATTAAGCATGATTCTCAAACAAGATAGCGAAAACATAATATAATTGTTAAACAATATATAAAGATGACATGCACTAGGTAGCATCTATATAAATGCTTCTATATGAGTCTAGGATGATCATGCATACTCAAGGCTCGATCATAATCAATACCCAGCACATTCCATGTGCTCTAACATGATCCAACATGTCCCATGTGCTCAACTTGATACGCATATCACCTGCACTCATAGGGCCCAATGTAACATGGATAATCACCTAACTCTTGAGGGATAGATCCATATCCAAGCGCCGCATAGAAACTCATCATGCCATAATACATTAATATTACAATAACCGCACGAAAATAATCATCGTGACACATCAATATCAATCTGCTCAAATGTCCAAATGTACCATAATCTTATCAATCCGTACCAACATATCCATCTCTATGGTTGTATGCATATATTCAAGAAACAAAATAAAATACATAAGGACATAATAAATAAAGATCCGGATAAGTAATTATGACATAAATTATGACTACGACCAAAATAAGTATATGAACATCTCAAGAATAGCCCATCATGTCCAAATAATATGTCATAAGCTAAAATGTGATTTCTAGCATGATTAAAATAGGCTCACGTAGTCATACAATCAAATAAAACATAAGTCAAGAAGAATAAACAACAAAACAATGCATAAAGAAGCTTAAAACTACCCCAAACATGGTATAACCTTAGTGCACGTATATATGTTCATCACCTCGCATATATGTTACCCCTAAATCATGTAACATATAATACATAAGACCAATTTGTTGAAAATTCGCTCTTAATACTGCTTCCTCTATCTAGTACCTTCAATGCTCAAATCTATCCAAATAATACTTAATAAGGTCAAACAATGCTTTAAGAAGTAATCTCAAATCAAAAGGTTTCAATTTAAATTAAATCTGAAAAGTCAACAAAAGTTAGTCCGAGCCACATGGTCAAAATTCGGGTCTAGGGGTAGATCCCATTGGCCCATAACCTTACGAGTCTAAATATATATTTTATTCCCAAATTCGAGTCCAAGTCAGTGTTCAAAACCTCAAAATATACTCTTAAGTTTAGATAAATATCCTAATTTCACTTTAAAGTTCTATATTTTTGGTGTAGAAGTCCACGGGGAATCAAGATATATGATCAAAATCAAGTAAAAATTATTTACTCTCGAGATTGGGCTAAACTCCTCCAAAATTGCCTCTTCTCGATCTCCAAACTCAAAAATGGTAGAAATGAGCTAAACCTCAACCTAAATCCATCTGTCTGGCATCCTTGTAGGTGCATACACTAAGGCGCAAGTGCACACATCTTGTCCGAATGTGCGGCCTGTACCTGCCAAGTCCTTAGAAGGTGCACTAAATCATCCGTAGGTGCGACCCTCACACGTGCGACCACAACAACGCATGTGTGACTACAATTATTTCGAAACTCACCAGAGCCTCTCGAAACCCTGTCCAATCATTCTAAAAAGTTAATATACCTTATTCAAACTTATCCAAAAGCTCAAAACACTACAAATAACATCAAACTAAGGGTCGGACATCAAATAAAGAATATCAAATTCTCTTAAGTTCAAACTTCTAACTTTCGATTAGAAGTGCACCAACCATGGGCCACCCGAGCCCCGAACCAAACATAATAACAAGTGCAAAAGCATTAGACGAATCTATTAGAACTCTCAAAATAGCAATCTAGGGTTGTTTACTCATACTATTGACTTTGATCAACTCTTCCAATATTAAGCCTCAACTTAGGAACTATGTGTTCCAAATCAATCCCGAACCTCCCGAAAATCAAACCACCATCCCCATAAGTCATAAAATAGCAAACCAACCAATGGAAGCATCAAATAAGGGAATGATGTTGTAGAACACAAAATAGTCGGTTGGGTCATTATATTATCCACCTCTTAAACAAATGTTTGTCCTCAAACGAGTTTAGGAATATACCTGGACTGTTGAAAAAATATGGAGACCTGCTCTGCATACCTGACTTGTCTCCCAAGTAGCGTCCTCACTCCGTTGTCCTTTCCAAAGCACCTTCACCAAAGTGATCTCCTTTGACCTTAACTTTCGAATATGCATGTCCAAAATAGCAACCGACTCTTCTTTATAGGCCAAATTCTCATCTGGATGTATTGTGCCGAACTCCAAAACATGCTATTTATCCTTATTATTCTTTCGAAGCATAAAAACATGAAATATCATATGAACTCCCGATAAGCTAGGAGGCAAGGCAGGCCTATAAGAAACCTCATCAACTCTCTCCAACACCTTAGTGGACCAATAAACCTCGAGAACAACTTGACCTTCTTCCTAAACCTCATCACACCATCCACTTTGTGAAACCTTCAGAAGTACCTTTTTTTATTCTCCATAAATGCCACATCACAAACTTTCTTGTCAGCATAACTTTTCTGCCTACTCGGAACTGCCCGAAGTTGTTCTTGAATCAACTTCACCTTCTCCAAAGTATCATGAACCAAATGTGTACCCAACAACCTAGGGTTACCAGGCTCAAACTAGCCAAGAGGTGAAGGACACTATCTACCATATAAAGTCTCATGCCATCTGAATACTGGATTGATAACAGTTATTGTAAGAAAACTCCGCCAAATGTAAGAACTGATCTCAATGGCCTCCAAAGTCAATATCACAAGCTCGCAATGTGTCCTCAAGGATCTGAATATTTTGCTTAAACTGGCCATCTGTGTGCGGGTGAAATATTATGCTAAGCTTCACCTGAGTACTACCCTCTAGCTGAACAACTCTACAAAAGTAAGATGTGAACTGAGTGTCATGGTTTAAAATGATAGAAATGGGCGCTCCATGAAAATGAACTACATTCCGAATGAAAATCTAGCCAACCTCTCTGAAGTATAAGTCGTCAATACTGGTATGAAGTGCACGGACTTAGTCAATCTATCCACAATGACCGAAATAGCATCAAACATCCTTAAGGTATGTGGTAATCCTAGCATAAAGTCCATAGTAATATGCTTCCACTTCCACTATGGTATAATTATTTTTTGAGTCAAACAACCTGATTTCAGATGTTCATACTTAACTTGGTGGCAATTCAAACACCATGAATCTTGACTAGAAATATACTTTTTTATCCTCTACACCAATAATATTGCTTCAAGTCATGATACATCTTTATAGCTCTCGGATAAATAGAATATCGCATACTGTGAGCCTCGTGAAGTATTAGCTTCCTGAAACCATCAACATTAGGAACATAAAGCTGGCCCTGAAGTCTCATAACACCATCATCTTCAATAGATACCTTCTTAGCACTACCCCACTTCACTATGTCCTTAAGTACCAACAAATGGGGATTATCATACTTACAAACTTTAATGTGCTCAAACAAGGGCGTCTGCGCAATAACACAAGCAAGAACTTTGCTACGCTTAAAAAAATCTAATCTTACAAATCTATTAGCCAAGGCCTAAAAATCCATAACCAAAGGCCCCTCCTCAAAGAGAATGAATGCCAAACTACCCATACTCTCCGCTTTTCTACTAAAGGCATCCGTTACCTTATATGCCTTACCTAGATGATACAAGATAGTGCTATCATAATCCTTAAGCAACTCAAAACACCTTCGCTACCTCAAAGAAAAGTCCTTTTGCTTGAACAAGTGAAAAACTACGATGATCAATATAAACCTCATATGATACGCCATACAAGAATACCTTACAATCGCTGCCAACTCCAAATCATGAACTAGATAATTCTTCTCACGAGTCTTCAATTTTTTAGCACATAATTTGAGAATCAAAACAAAGAATCACACATCCAATCAAGAATCTGTAATTCTCTTAAATTCAAAATTTTTACTTTCGACTAGAAGCGTCGAACCAATTTCGGACCATACGAGGTCCAATCCAACATTCGCTGTCACGATCCAAAATTCCACCAACGATTGTGATAGAACCTAAACCCATTCTAGGTTAGCCATTATCTAATCATAGATCAAACTAAGCATAACAAGATATAATATAATTGTCATAGAATAATTATGCGGAATGAATCCTTCAAC